TGTGAGAGAGAGTTGTGAGGAAGATGAATGAGAAGGGGGGATTTTATAGATTTTTTTTAATTTAGAATTTTTTTTTATTTTTTTTTGGGGGGGGGGGTAACGGCTATATAGCCGTTGGGAAGGGGGGGAGCCGGCAAAAAAATGGCATCACGCCGCGTCAAACTAATGACGCAGGCTGTCTCACGCCCGAATCACGCCGAAGGGGGGCGGTGTTTAACGCCCCCAGGCGTTAAACGCCCGTATCACGGCGGTGGGCGTGATGAGCATTTCCAGTGCTCTTAGAGTGATGGTGTCTTTCTAGGAAGATTAAAAATGAATACATTAAATATTGTTTTAGTGGTGGAGTGACCACTTTGACAAGGAAGTTCAGATTGATCCCCACCTAGTGTCCAAGAGAGACAAGTTTTATTGCCTGGCCTTGGTCGTACAAATAGATGGGCAGATAGATGGGGTTGTTGCTCATCGTGTTGGAGCTACTTAGGCCAAGGCGAAGTTGGCTTTAGAGTTAATCTGTGGGTCTGTGACAGGAAAATTGACTAGGATGAAAGGAAAGTTCTACAGGTCTATTGTGAGACCAGTCATGTTGTACAGAGTAGAGTGCTGGACGGTTAAGAAAATTAATATTCATTAGCTACATGTTGCAGAGATGCGGATGCTACGTTAGATGTGTGGGCACACAAGGTTAGATAAGATTCAGAATGATATTATTCAGGAACGAGTGGAGGTGGCTTCTGTTGAGAGCACGTTACGGGAAGCTAGACTGAGGTGGTTTGGGTTCGTGAAATGGCGTAGTGCTGAGGCTCCGGTGCGGAGATGCAAGAGACTTTGAGTGGTGGGTGGGAATGTGGGAAGGGGTAACCTAAGAGGACTTGGAAAAAGATGGTTAGTCAAAACCTTAGACTTTTGGCCCTTAGTGGGGATATGATCTTAGATAGAAGTATTTAGAGAGAAAGAATTAGGATCGATGGGTAGTATAACCATGATTTTCGTGCTTTATGTTTCTTTCTGCGTGCTATGTGCTCTATAGGTTACTCGAGTCGGGATCTATTAGAAACATGCTTTCTACTTCTAAGTAAGGACAGGGTGTGCGTGCATACACCCTTCTCGGACCCTACCTCCGTGAGAGTTTACTAAGTTGCTGTTATTGTTGTTGTAGAAATATTAGATTTGCTTTTTTAACCAAATAAATGTATTATATTAAGTGGGCAATAAATTCTAGAGAAGAATGAACCCATTCAACACTGTTTTATTAAGTACTTCAATTTGTTCTACTGTCTAATTCCCAATTTATTACAAAAAATGTACTTCGTAGTTTAATTTGTAACTTAAAAGATTGTTTCTTCGCAGGATTCCATCATAAACATAATTAATCTTGTACTTTTATAACATCTTATTTGAGTTATGCGCTTCATAAATTCTTCATTTCATATTTCATGAAATAAGTGATTATAAAACTACTCTATATTATGCAATGGAGGATGGACCTGGTGATAAATATAGAGTTAATGGATGGACAATAATGAAGCTCCACATGACCAAAACATGATCCACGTACTGTAATCCCTAGTATCTATAATGAAAAATTGGAAAGAAAGACATCACTATGTAGCAGCGTTACAAAGAATGGTATACGAACGAGAAAAAGATTAACAAACTTTCATACTCTCTCCGTCCCTAAATAAATTACAATTTTTTATCTCTCTTCTCTCGATAACTTTTGTTTGTTTACGCGATTTCATTAAGTATTTGATAAAATAAAATATTATTGTCACCTCTTGTTTTGTAGAACTTTTGACGTAGTTTTTTAATATGTAATTTTTATATCTTATTGATATACCAATTTGTAAATAAAATGATTTCAAAGAGTAGGGAATTTTTCTTCGTAACCCGCAATTTGTAATTTATTTAGGGACGGAGGGAGTATTAAAATTATTCTGAGGTCGGTCTATCAAAATACTTCACTAGATAAGACGTAAACTATAAGAACGAGTGCATGATTCCATTGTTTGAAACATAGCAAAGAATCCATATATTTATAGGCAAAATCTAAACAAACATGTGTGTTGCAGGAAATTAAATAACATGACTTATCACAATATATTCCAATGTTTTGCTAAAATATTCAAGATGTATAGCGTGTTATTACATTCAAAATCTATGTGTTTGTCCACAAACGTCATGATTAGATAGTAAACATGAACATTCGAATGTATTACTTTCTAAGTTTAAATATTCCTTTGACACCACTATCAAGAGCTGCCGTACTCGATACTCTGCTAATGAATTTGTAATATCGTTAAACAAGCGTATCTTTCACACCTCCAAACTCGCTAACAATATCTACTCCAATTCTCGTCAGGTGTAATTAAGTGAATTCATCAATTACATAACATATGACACTAAAATCTCTAATAGTTTCTTCTAACATCATACTATGTTTTCTAACCCAAAATAATACAACCAAAATGGTCTTAAAGGTTTCTCCTTGCTTTGTTTTCAAAAAAAAACTCTTACTAAATAAGACTAACACTATGTTGGGTTCAAGAAATTTAGGTGGAAAATAAAGAAAAATAATTTGTTTTCTCTATTTCTTCACTAGAATAGGGTGAATTTCATTTTCCATCCTCACAATACATTTTGCTTTTTCGTTTTCTTTCCCTTCTAGTTTTCTTTTCTTCTTTAACCAAACAAGAAAATTTATTTTTAACTTTCATTTGTTTTTTTTTAAATTTCTTGAACCAAACATATTGTAAAACTTGGAACTTCGATATCACCCACATTTTTATATCCTAAATAGGAGTGTTGGTAATTGGCACTATCAACACTGTAATTTGGCATTGAGAAGTGGCATTTCATAGTATTTTTGAATATTGTGTGTTAACATTGAAGGTGACTGATACGGTATCGTATCGGGATAGGAAAGGATTTCGAGCACCTTCGAGCTCCAAGAACAAAAGAGGTGAGAAAGAGAGAGAGATTGAGGTTTAGGAGAAAGTATTTAATTTTCTTTACTCATTGATTAATAATTCATTGAAATGGATACATTTATAGTTAGCAACCCTAGAGAATCCTTAACGTAGAAGGAAACTAAATAAACTAGGAATCCTAATTATAAATGGTAACAAATATCCTAATAATAGAATACTACTTTCTAATAATAATATAATTAACTAACCATAAATAATGATATTACCTAATATAAAAATAATAATTATCACTAACCATTAATAATAGTAATAATAATAATAATGATAATTAATCCCGTATCACTCTCCCCGCCTCAAAAACCAACTTGTCCTCAAGTTGGAAATTCAACAAAGAACGGTGAAAAAGTGTGTCATTCATCGTTCATCCTCCGGGGTCAAACACCTTCATTATTGGAGCATCAAAAGAACGTGTTGGACCTACAACATCTCCAACACTAGTTAAATAATTGCATGCGACCAACTCGATGAAAAGAATTCAACCGGGTGCAATACTTCTTGATTTATAGATAACAATAACCTCAGCATCAGGAATTCCAAAGCTTTCTGTGCATCCATAAAAAATTAGAATGTCCCCAAAAACTTCCTCGCGGCCTTGATGGTGTGCATCCTCATGAACATCGTCTGTAGGAACAGGATCAGTAACAATAACAAAAGCATCATCGGAAATACCTACCAGATGAACAAAAATTTCCCCCTTTATCGTGAGTGACTTATTGGTATTCATGATATTGAACCCACTTTTCTTGTCATCTTCGACATGTGGCTCATCGCTTAAATTTTCCACAAGAGGACCTGTGTGTGCGGCTGTGTTTTCCACCAACTGAACAATCATGTCTCCAGCCTTATGGGCTAAATTTGGTGGAGAAAGAGGAGCACCGATTAGTCCCCTTATTGCGTCCCCTTATTTTGGTATATGAAGCATGATCGAGATTATGTTTTAGTTCTACTTATGTATTTCTTTCATAAACTTTCATTTCAAATACCAATGTGGGCATTGACCTTGTGTAATTTAGTAAGTTGAGAAAATATATTCTAACTGAGACTATATTATAATTGCTGTTATTAAAAGTTATAAGGGCTCGTTCAGTAAATTCTGAAGGTATGATATGGTAGTTTTGTAATTTAGAAGAAATGATATGAGCTGATGAGTTCTCAAATTTGGAATAAGGTTGCTTGAGAGATTTAAATTCATGATTTAATTAATAATAGACGAGGATAAACGTCAATGAGGGTGTGTGGTTGCCGGAGACAATGATAAACGATGAAAGGAATTATCAACGATTGAGAAAGATATCAAAGATTCATTTGAAGAATTTATCATATATGAAAATGTCAACTTCAATACCTCTTTTGGCTTCACCAAATTCATTACAAAACGGATTTTGATATTTATAGATATCAGAATTCAGATCTCATATCTTGTTTGCTCACTAAAGTCACCTTAAAAAAATATTTTTTTTATTATTAACTCTCGGAAGCTAATAAGGGAGCCGTTACATTTTCGTTCTTCATTTTTTCTTTTTCTTTTTTTGGGTGAAAAATGCTAAGATAATATATGTACATTTTCCCCACTCAAACATGGCTAACATGGTCAATTAATTAAGCTAGAAACCCGGAGTGTAAGGCAGGCCAGTGGGAAGGATCCAAGAATTTCCGAGGATGAATTTACCGGGAACGAACTCTCCCGCCACCTCCTTGCTGATCAACCCCTTCACTCCCGCCCACTTGGCTCTCCCGCTCACGTCGGCGCCCTTCCCCGTGTTCCCGTACTCCCCGAACCAGCACTCCTCGAGCCCGAACGAGCCCTGGAACGGGGCCCACCCCTCGGGGCTGATCGGGGCGTCAATCCTCGAGTTCATGACCACCGTCCTCGAGTACTGCCTCCACGGGCGCCCGAGGAACGACTCGATCGCGCCCGCGGACGAGAGGTACTCGGGGGATGCGGAGATCGTGGAGTCGGCGATCACGATCCCGGTGGGCTCGTCCGGCTGGGCCCGCCCCTGGGCGGTCACCATGCAGGACTGGCCCGAGCCGTCGGTCACGAGCGGGCGGCGGATCACGAGGCTGCAGTTCTGGAAGACGGCCGCCGCGTTGCCGAAGACGAAGTCGATGGTACCGGTGACGGTGCAGTTGCGGTAGAACTGGCGGTGGGCGTGGACGTAGAGCGTGTCTTGGTACCCGTCGATCTGGCAGTTGTAGAAGATGGCGCGGTCAGCCTGCACCCGGAGGGCCACCGCCTGGTGGCTGGAGGCGCCGGCGGTGTTCTCAATGCCGATGTCCTTTGCAATGAAGCCATCACCCTTGATTACTGCATCACAGATGTTGATACATCTTTAGTTCTTTTTCTATTATTGTAAAGAATGTACGTATGAACACATCACTAATAATACTAAAAAAATTAAGTCAAATACTTTATTTTGAATTTGTGAATTTGCTGGTTTAAATTAAATTTGTCACACCTTTTTTAAAACTAACACAAACTATCCAAAGTTACTTTAAATTTTTTAAATTTCTAATTCAATTTCTAAAATAAAATTAAAATTTCTATAAAACAAGAAATGACATAATTAAATTATTATACCCAGTAACAAATGATTAACTAAGAGAAATATGTATGTGAGAGAAAACTACTAGTATAATAAAAATGGATGTGACCAGTATTAGTAATGAGATGGAGGGTGTAAAAATTATACTCCCTCCGTTCCTGAAAACCTTTCTCCTTTCTTTTTTCATCCGTCCCAAACAAACACTTCTCATTTCTATTAAAAAATAATTTTTACCCCTTACTTTTTCATACCCTACCTATCCCATTATACCTTTTTACTAATAATCTATCCATCAAATCATACTTTTACCCATCACATCAAAGGACATTTTTGGAAATTCAATACTAAAATACAATCCCCTTAAATCCCTCTTCAAAATCAAAACTTACATGTTTTCCGGGACGGAGGGAGTATTTGTTTAGGTACAAAACAATAATTTGGAAGTCTTTATTAAAGGAAGTTTCGTACTTAAAAAATGGAAGTTTAATTTCATACTCCGTACAATGCAACGATCAAATTAAATATATTGTCTCCTTATTTAGAATATGAGTTTAATTATATTAATTAATTAAACACATAGTTTGCATGCAATAATTAGATTATATTCTACGTACCATAATTAAGACCATGTTCCATATTTAATGTTTTAGAAAGTAAATCTTGCCTATATTAAATATTTATATAAAAAATTTAATAAAAAGTAATTATGTTTAAAATTGCGGGGTTACTTTTTTAAAAAGAATTTCCTCAAAAAGAAAAAAAAGAAGAAAGAAAGTAATATTGATGAGAGGGAGAGTACAGTAAATACTCACTAACTGTTCCGGTTTCGCTGGTCTGGTAACCGCCGACAAAGCTTCTATCTCCGGTGATCTTAGTCTTTGTGGGCCCATCGCCCATGAAAACCACATTGGTCATCTTCTTTGTGAGAACAACATGTTCGGCATAAACGCCGGCTTTAATGTAGATGACGAATGTCTCATTGCTCTTCAGAGGGATCTCCTTCACCGCCTCGTTGATCGTCTTGTATTTCCCCGACCCGTCCTTCGCCACCACCACGTCCGCCTCCTTTGCGTCCCGGAGAAGCAGGCCCCGCCTCTGGGCCCCGCTCGCCCACGCCGGCAGGTCGCCGCCGTCCTTCCTAGCGGCCAGCAGCTTCCGGCTCAGCCCTGGAATGTCGAGCGCGACCAACGCGTCGTGGATCTCGTCGACCAGTTCCAGGGTGTTCCCCGTCAGCTGCTGGGCCGTCACCAACAGCTGCTTCATTTTGTCAGCGCTTTCCCCTGTTATTTCACGAGAAATAAAGTTATTTAGGAAATAAAACAGTTTAAGTGCTTTTTAGGGAAATGACTTATTCCCTCCATTCCATATTAACTGTTCATCATGACTTTCTTGTTACATTAAAAAATTAATGAATGTGGACATACGCTATGTCTACATTCATTCATTTCTCAATGTACCAAGAAAGTCATAATGGACAGTTAATATGAAATGGAGGGAGTAAGTGATATTTAAGTGGTACTGTATATAGCAGCTGACCTTCTGTGCCGAGGAATCCGTCTAGGCACGTGTTCTCGAACGTCAGGGCGCCACTGAGCCAAATCTTGATGTCGTTCATGAAGAGGTCGAGGTTTTCAGCTGCAGACGCGTAGTCGGTGAGCCTGTCGAGGGCGCGCCTGATGTCGTCGATGGAGTCCTCGAGGAGACCGTGGCAGACCTCGAAGGCTTTCGAGGTCCTGGGATCTTTCGCGGCGTCGCGGAGGAGCTTCGACTTCGCCATGACATCAGAGATCTCCTGGATCGTCACGTTGAACGCGACTTCCACGAGATCTTTGGTGTCGGTGCTGTTGGTGGCGGCCGAGAGCTTGGTCTCGCACGTTTCCCTGTGCCGAGTCGGCTTGCAGATCGCCTCCACGGCCTTGGCGGACGAAGCCATGGTGGTGCCGGAGGGCGAGCCACCGTCATGGTCAGCCGGGGTTTCCTCCTTTCGTGTCACGAACACAACGACGACGGCGGCGGCAACAACTAGCAGGAAAAAGACTAGGATTGATAATCCTATAGTTTTCTTATTGTTATTGGTAGCCATGTTTATTTATTTATTTATAATATACTCCGTATTAAAATTTGAGAACCCTTTAGGGTTATCTAAACCATAGAAAGGATTGATAACCCTTAGGTTCTATAATAGATTAATTGGTTAATGTAGAGGCTAGGTTTTCTTTTATAGTGGGAATCGTAAACGAATTTTGATTGAATGTGAGGTTGAGGGTGAAAAATGAACTCCTAGCCATGCAAAAACCCGACATTTAAGTTGAGCATTAGGAATTTTTTTGTGGTTTCCTTTTTGTAAACTCGCCATAATTAACAATTATTCAATGTGGAGTGTTAGTTTCTTAAGGAAATAATAGCATGCAGCTTCATGTAGTTGTATATACGGAGTAATTAAATATATATACCCTGTATTAATATTTATGTAAGCATAACGTTGAACCTTTACGTTTATTTGTACATTAATTAAAACTCCATAATAATTATGACAATATTACTTATTTATTTTTTTATTATTGTTACTATTATTATTAATTAATACTCCGAGTACTTCATAATAATTACGAGCATGTTATAATAATAATAGTAATAATAATGTTGTTGTTATTATTATTATCAGGGAATATAAGCACAATATAATGGTTCTTTTTAACTGGGAAATCAAGGACATATCAGGACTCGAGACCTCTACGGTGCTCTGTAGGTAATGTTAAAGTTCTTACGTCCCTAAATTCCCCTGCCCACACATCTCACTCCAACCCCCTAGGTCGCTGATTTGGCACTGCCAAATCGGTGATCTAGGAAGTAGGGTTGGGGTGAGGTGTACATGGAGAGCAGACATGGGGCTAAGAATCATCAATTTTACGAACGGAACACTGAAGGTGTCCCAAATGTCAAGGTCATTTAAGGTCACCCGAGGTCAAGGTCAAAAGATCGTTTTCATATTATTATTATTATTATTATTATTATTATTATTATTATTATTATTATTATTATTATTATTATTATTATTATTATTATTATTATTATTATTATTATTATTAGAGTAAATTCCATAAAAGGTCCCCAGTTATAGGTCGTTTTACATATTTAGTCCCTACATATCAAATATTACTAATTTAGTCCTTAACTATTATATCATTTTTCACGAATAGTCATTTGTTAACATTTTTGTTAAGAATATGGATAAAATTGTATATTCATACAATTTGGAGTTGACTTTTAAGCTTTGTCATTGATGTGATAGATATATAAGTGAAATTTGCACTAAATAGGACTAAAACACAAGTCATTTCCTAATGTAGGACTTAAACTTTTTTATTACCTAATTAAATAGGACTAAATAATGACTAGTGAGAAAAATAATGTACAAGTGATGCTGGACATTTAGTTGAATAATGACTAATTCATAATGACCAAAGGTCCTACATTGGGAAATAAAAACATATGGTCCTATATTGGAAAAGTTATTATGTTTTAGTCCTATTTAGGTAAATTTCTATTATTAGTCTGAAAGTATGTGATAGGTAAGGTAAGAAAAAATAAAGATAAAAGTGGTTTTTAATAGTGTTTTAGGGAAAACAAAAAAACTGAAAGATGAATTATATTAAGAAACGGAGGGAGCATAACTTTTAGATCACAAAAAAACTGAAAGAGAAATGAAAGAGGAATGTTTTTAATAGTCATATTTTATTGTAAGTTGGTCATATTTCTCTTATATAGTCTAAAATATTTTTCCGTATAAACACATGTCTCTTAAAAAATTATGAACATATTTGTATATATCTACATGTATATTTTTCATAAATATAGATGTCTTAAAAATGAAAATGCAACAGACAAAATAAAAAATAAATAATGTTTGGTCCCATTTCCCAAAAAATTAAAATAGTGTTAACTAGCAACGGTTTGTTTTGTTCAACTTATTTTTTCATCTTACTACATGTTTATTATTATTAAAATCAGATGAGTCAGATATAACCAGATCAAATTCAATCAGATTAGGTCCAATTAGATCAGATCGAAAACAAATTTAAATATAACTACAATCAGATCAAATCTGATCAAAGCTAATCAGATCAAATTAGATACAATCAGATCAGGCAAACAGAATGCAACCTAACAAAAATTATTACTTATTTAATATTTAATGTAGATATTATGAAATATACATAGTAATACGAGTATAACAAATTAGCTGAATGGATAAATCATACTAGTATACTCACTCTGTCCCGACGTATTTGTCTACTTTTGAATTTTATTGGTCAAAATTGATAAGCTTTGATTTCAAATTTAATAAAAATAATACTCCGTATTAGCTATTGATACAAAAATAATTTATTAAATTTATTATATAAAATATTTTCAAAATAATATTTTATTTAATTAATATGTAATATATCTTCTATTTAATTATACATCAAAAGCTGGAAATGATTGACTAAAAACAGTCAAAATTAAATACTCCCTCCGTCCAAGAGTATTTGTTCACTTTCATTTTTACACACCATCCAATGCACTTCTTTAATCCATTTTATCTTGTAATTTGTATATTAAAAAATTGTAGAAATTAAATATTAATGATCTATATGTTAAGACAAATCAAACAAGATCACACATGACTATATTTAGACTTACACATTGAGAAAATTTGATGAGTCAAAGTACTTAGATAAACAGTTCCAAAAGTCAAAAGTGGACAAACAAAGCGGGACGGAGGTAGTAAATAATACTCCCTCCGTCCCAATTTAAATCGCCTGTTTTGATTTTTGGGCATATTTAAGGAAAATAAAAAATAGAGTTGATTTTCCGAAATTGCCATTATTTTTTAGAAGGAGTGATGATGAATGAGAAGATAAGCTGAAGAAGAGTGACTTATTTTAAGGGTAGTTTAGGTATTTTTTTTAAAAGTTTACGAAAATAACTAACAGTCATATGATCAAAATTGACGTATTATTATTAATATATCATTTCAACAATAACATTTGAACTCTGGGACTCGACCTTTACTTTTTTTTTTGGCCTAGTGTAAATAAAATTTGCACTTTTTTTTCATACACAAAATGTAAAAATATGTATAAGCAGCTAGTTAAGCTAACTAATTTAGGCGCGCTTCATAAAGCCCCCCACATATGGCACCCCCGCAGCGGGCACCCAAGAGTCTCCAAGAATGAATTTCCCCGGCAAGAAACCCTCCGCCTCCGCCGCCGTCATAGCTCCCTTTATTCCCCCGAACTTCGCTCTCCGGCTAACGTCGGCGCCCTTTCCGGTGTTGCCGTACTCCCCGTACCAGCAGTCCTCGAGCCCGAACGTCCCCTGGAAGGGCGCCCACCCTTCCGGGGCGATCGGGGCGTCGATTCTCGAGTTCATGATCGCCGTCCTCGAGTACTGCCTCCACGGGCGCCCGAGGAACGATGTGATCGGGCTCGGGGAGGCGAGGTACTCGGGGGAGGCGGCGATCGTGGAGTCGACGATCACGATCCCGGTGGGCTCGTCCGGCTGGGCCCGCCCCTGGGCGGTGACCATGCAGGACTGGCCCGCCCCGTCGGTCACGAGCGGCTTCCGGATCACGAGGTTGCAGTTCTGGAAGACCGCCGCGGCGTTGCCGAAGACGAAGTCGATGGTACCGGTGACGGTGCAGTCGCGGTAGAACTGGCGGTGGGCGTGGACGTAGAGCGTGTCTTGGTACCCGTCGATCTGGCAGTTGAAGAAGATGGCACGGTCGGCCTGCACCCGGAGCGCCACCGCCTGGTGGCTGTTGGCTCCGGCGGTGTTCTCAAACCCTATGTTCTTCGCAATAAACCCATCTCCCATTATTGCTGCACTCAACAAGCAATTCAAAAATGGATTAATAATTACACATATATAAAGAAATATTTGCACTAAATAACACTAAAAACATAAATGAAGAGAGACTTACTAACGGTCCCGGATTCACTAGTTTGGTAACCACCAACAAAGCTCCGATCGCCGGTGATCTTGGTTTTTGTCGGACCGTCTCCAACGAAGACGACATTGGTGAACTGCTTGGGAAGAACAACGTATTCGGCATATACCCCGGCCTTGATGTAGACGACGAAAGGCTTTGCGCTGTGGGGAGGGATGGTCTTGATGGCGTCATTGATGGTTTTGAATTTTCCAGAACCATCCTGTGCCACCACGACGTCGGGCACTGGAGCGCCGGCGAGTAGGCGGCGCTGGGTGGAGCTTGCCCACGATGGCAACCCGTTCGTGGTGGCAAGGATTTTCCGGTTGAACCCGGGGATGTCTAGTGCCTTTATGGTTTCATGGACCTGGTCAACCAATTCTAGGGTGTTGCCGGTGAGCTGTTGGGCAGTTGCCAAGAGTTTTTTCATCTTATCGGCGCTCTCACCTGATAATTAATTACACATGCAAACAGTTATTGTCTTTGAAACAGTAATAGTACTATCAATCTTAATGTCATTCGTGATATATATGACTATTGTATGGTCTGAAGATATATATATATTACCTTCAGTACCGAGGAATCCGTCTAGGCAAGTGTTCTCAAACGTCAAGGCGCCACTGAGCCAAATCTTAATGTCGTTCACGAAAAGGTCGAAGTTTTCGACCGCAGAGGCGTAGTCGGTGAGCCTGTCGAGGGCCCGCTTGATGTCGTCGATGGAATCCTCGAGGAGTCCCTGGCACACTCGGAAGGCGTTCGAGGTCCTCTTATCCTTTGCGGCGTCTTGGAGGAGCTTCGACTTCGCCATGACGTCAGCGATCTCCTTGATCGTGATGTTGAATGCCACGTGGACGAGTTCCTTGGTGTCGGTGCTGTTGGTGGCGGCGGAGAGCTTCGTCACGCACGTTTCCTTGTGGAACGTCGGCTTGCACAACGCCTCCACCGCTTTGGTCGACGAGGAGATGTTGCCACCGCCAGAGGCGCGGCTCTCGTCGGCGGTCGCCGGAGATTTTTCTCTTTGTGTCACAAGCACGGCAACGGAGACGGCGGCGACCACTAGGAAAAGGGCTAGGAGGGATAACCCCAGAGTTCTTTTATTGTTTGCCATTTTTGAGATGAAGAACGGCGAGGGTTATCTGTAGCCAAAAGGATAGATAACCCTCCCTTATTAGTTATTAAGTTCTTCACCTCAAGACAATTATGAAATATATGGCAAGATGGGAAGGGTTATTTATAGGTAAACATCAACTAATTTCTTGCAATGTGAGGTTGAAAAATGAGTGATTATTGGAGATTAACATGATTAAGCACCACACAAATCCTACGTTTAAGGTCCAACCCCATTCAAGGTTTGAAAATGTATTGGGGAATGCATGGTTTTCGATCATTTTTTACTACGTCCTCCCATGCATTAATATTTTTCAGATTTGGCTTTTATGAAATATGTTGAAAGGTCAAAACATTGTGAAAATATATGGTTTCTATTTCTCGAATTTATTTTTTGTTTTTATTTTATCAATTTTCTTCATACATATATTCCCCACATTCCAAAAAACTAGTTAAAATTAATTTTTCCAATGTAGTATCAAACTAGACATTATTAATATGCTTTCAAGCGCACAAGAGACAAGAGAATTGATCTATCTTCTACGGAGTATAACACATGTTTTTAATTTCTTCGAAGATAATAATGCAATTATCTTTGTGTATTAACTATATGTATAAAATATTATAAACAATGTAAGAAAATTGAGTAAATTCTATAATTGGTCCTTTATAACAGTGTGGTTTCCCTATTTAGTCCTCTGTTATCAAATATTACTCCAATGGTCCTTCTTTTATGAGTATCTTTTCTCAAATAGTCATTTTTGATCTTCTATCATGTTGATGTTAATTTGAGGGCTAAAAGTGTAATTTCACAATGATAATATATCTTTTTTGTCATACACAATTCCAAAGGTTGTTCCATTTGCGTCGTTTGTGAATTACAGTCGCTTTCTACTACAACCATAGACTACACATATGGTCTTTCGTCAGAATCCTAGCCCACAATCATACTCACGTACTAGACATAATGTTGATGTCAAATTATACTTTTAGCTTTTAAATTAACACCAATACGGCAGAAGATCAAAAAATGACCATTTGTGAAAAGGTATCCTTAAAAAAAGGACTACGATGGTAATATTTGATAATAGAGGACTAAATATGGAAACCTCATTTATAAAGGACCAATTATGAAATTTACTCAAGAAAATACAATGTAATAAATTAATATGGTGGACACACTCGAGGTTGAATTTCATCTCTCAAGGCTAAAATTTGTAACATTTAGAGATCAACAAGAGCTAAAAGATGTTGTCCAAAAAAATAGTGAAATTTGTACTAAATAGGACTAAAACATAATGACTTTCCTAATGTAAGACTTAAACTTTTTTATTCCCTAAATAGGACGTAATAATGATCTTGTAGGAGGAATAATATTCAGTAATGATGAACATTTACTTGAATAATGACTACTTGATATTGACCAAAAGTCTTACATTGAAAAATAAAAACATATGATCCTATATTGGAAAAGTCATTATGTTATAGTCTCATTTAGGTAAATTTCTCAAAAAAATATTGACAAAACTTAAGCTTGGATGATTTCCAATACACAATATAATGCGGGATAAAATTTGACATGCATATGCAAAGAATTTCCAGATCTTTTTTGTGTACAACCACAAAGTATATATGAAAATGGTCCCGATGCAAGAAAAACATTTTCTTCTTCTTTCACATTTTTCTTCTTCTTCTTCTGCCCAATGCATTTCGTCCCAGTTCCCAGCGAAACAGCCTTCAGTTCTGAAATCAATGAAGAATTTACAGCATATACGAAGCGAATGTATTTAGACAAACGATGAATTTCAAGCTTTCAATTAGGATTTACCGCGATGTGGAGAAGATATGAGAAAGGCAGCCAACACGGTGACTTTCCGGCCTTGAGGCTTTCCTTTCTTCGGTAGAGAATTGTAGGCTGACGAGACTGCTCTGTATATTTTCTCTCCCGGCGTTATTCTCATCGAGAGAAATGGCGGCGGCGATTCGGCGCCGAAGTCCATCCCGCCGGCGGACTATGACGACCGCCGGTGAATCAAACAAGTCAATGCAATTTCTTTTGTTGACTTTTTTTTGGTAATCAACCCATTAGCGTACGAAGTTAAAAACACATTGTTATACGGAGTGACTCATTTGATCAAAAATCAAAACCAAATGTTCCTTCAAACAAAAAAATTGAAATGTCTGGTGCATACGTTTATTTTTCTTTCCATGTTAATGATTTGAGGAATATCCCTTTCATCTTAGAAGAAGAAGAAAGGTGTTAAGGAGCTCAATCGATTAGTTAGCTCAACTTCAAGTTTCGATGTGGGATACTCTTTAACACTCCCCTCAAGTGGACAACCGGGCTATTTTGAATGAACGTCTAGATGGACACCTTAACAAAGGAGGTGGGCTAAAACCTGCTCTGATACCATGATAGAATTTAGGATGGGTATGCACAACTGGATTGGACAATAAGACACTTGGGTTGAACCACATTAAAAGATTGAATCCAATCGATTAGTTAGTTCAACTCAAGGGATTATATACCGGTTTATTTCTTTTTCAAGTTTCGATGTGGGATACTCTTTAACAAAAGGGTGTGAAAGAAGAAGAAAAAGAAGGGAGTGGGAGGGCCAAGGGGGAAGAAGAAGAAAAAAAAGAAATATGCTCAAATTGAAAATTTTAAAATATATAAAATTTGAATTTAGCCCAAATGATCGGAAGTTAACCTAGAAACTGGTAAATAGATTTTTAGTGAAAGAGTTATGTAAGTTCAGGTACTTTTGTGAAAGAATTTAAAGTTCAAGTATCAATTCAAAATTTCAATAAAAATTCATGTACCATTAATGAAATTTAGCCAACTTTTAGATGATGAAAAAATTGTGAGTCTTTGATTTAAAATTGATGAGATGGATAGAGAATAGGAGTGGCTGTGGAACGAAAGATTTAAAAATCGAGGTCCCTTGTTCGATTTTTCGCACCCCATCGGTTAAACACTGTTCCCCCAAAATTTGAAAACCTCTCCCCCCCAGGCGCTTGCCATTTCTAGGGTTTTCATTGAATCTTTGTCTGAAATTAACGTCTCCTGTCGAATGAAATTGGGCAATTTACTACTCCAGAAGCGTAATTTGGAAATGATTCGAAGAGCCATTGGGTTCCGGTGTTAGCTCCAGTAATGGGATTCAAGTTCTTGAAAGATGAAAACGAAGGAACAAGAGCAGGCCGGAAGCAGCTTCGACTTCAGCGAAAAGATTCACACTTTGCAACCACTTCGAGACCTCGAATCTAATTGGTCCGTCGATCTAGCGAAGAACCTTGAAGATTATTTGCTAAAGATTTGCTCCGGCGAAATTTCTGGGCGTGATGGTGCCACCCAGATTCCTGTGAACTTCTCTGAAGGTTTCTACCTTTTCTTTATCTCCCCATCATAATATCCAGAAATGTATTCGTATGTTTTATGGGTTTCTGTACTTTTCTTTTGAAATATATGCAGCTGCATTGCTGCTTCAAGGGTCAGCACAGGTGTACAGTAGGAAGGTAGAGTACCTATATTCATTGGTATTACATGCATTGGAGTCACTTTCTCAGACGAGGTTTGCTCTTATTTCATCTGTATATATTGGGCTATGCAATGACACAAGTTTTATAAAGCTGTTTTGATTTTGGGAGTACAATTATTAGATTATGGGTGTGCTGTGTATGAAATTGTTCCGTAGTTGTCTAATGATTAGTCCAGTGTGCTTTTAAAGGTATACATGGAAAAAGTAATCAGCTTTCGGGATTAAGATTTTGTTTTTGGTACAATGGAAAGAGTTTTGTGGTTGAGATCATAGTTAATCTATTCCACTTCTCGTGTTCCATACTGCTTGTGTCACTGTATTTATGAAGGGAAAAACTGATTGTATCTAGTTCAACCAAGAAGTGACATGCTAAATCACATATGAATGCTTGTTTTGCACACAGATGCTACAATAAGCTCTATATGACAGCCAAGTTTGCCCCATCAAGTTTTAGTATTTTACCTACGACTTTCTGCAGAGCTAGCTGTAGTTAAGCCGACTTATGTTTCGGCTGCTGTAATGGGAATATTGTGGGCTAAAAGCTTTAGATTTTTCTTCCAACAACAACTCCCAGTAAATCCCATAACTAAGCCCACTAAATCCCGCAAGTGGGTATGGGGACGGTAGATGTACATAGGCCTTACCCGTACCTAAAAGATAGAAAGGCTGTTCCCGTGAAATTTGATTGAGAAACAGATTACAACATAATGAAAATCTTCTAGATGCTGCAGAAGTATAATACATTTATGCACTGCCAGCTGTATGATCACTTAGAACTACTTTCATGTACATAAAAAAACTTACTTCCCTCAAGAGACATGGAGAAAAACCCTTCATTAAATTTCCTGCAACAAATCCTAATACATTGTGTAAAATTGAGTCTTTGACTCGAAGAAGCCTATTTTTTTAGAGTAACTACGGAGTAATTTACTAGTATATTGTTTATTGACTTTTCGAGTCATTGATAACTCTGTACAGGATTAGTGAGAAAGAGCAGCAACCAGATGGCTCAGCCACAACAGAAGAGGGTGCTTCAAATGCTCCCGAAGATCCTTTTTGGGGATTAGATGACATTCCAGGTAGTACATTCCTGTTGTTGTTTGATGATGATATTGTAGTGGATCAAAAAAATTATCTTGCTTATATTATCTTCCGTGTAGTGGATCCTAAAAACTCACGAGACAGTTCAGCCTCCAGAGATGAATTGCGGAATCACGTTGTTAAGGCTCCGGCAAATCTAGTTGTTCTCGAGAGTGACTGCTTAGATACAACTGGAGATGCTGGTGAACTCGAGTCGTATTTGGTATGCCATTAAATTACCTGCAGCACAGTTTCAAGAGCAACACACTTGTGTTAAGTCTTTGATACATGGTCATTTCCCGCAGCTTGCCACCTGTGACATGTACAGGGATTTTATTTTGTTGGACACATGTGATGTGGTGGCTATCGATTGTTATTTAAACAATGGAAACAAAACTGGAAAAAGATTGAATAGTAGCTGTAAAGTCCGCAAAAGTGTGAACCATTCTACAAGACGTTCTGGAGGAGTTGGCAGCCAAACTTCAGCTCGAAAGAACCAGGACCCTAATTTAAACATGTCTCCAGTAATCAATAATGATTTCAGTCCAGATGACCATATGCTCGAAAACAATGATGGTTTGTATGGAACGGGATACATGTTTTCAGAGCCAATGGATTTCAGTGGCTCAGACGAGGATGATGATCCAAACCCATGGAAACCCTTGAATCCTCATGAGCCTGGGAATTTGAGTGTTAAACCCTACAGAAGAGGTTGCTTTTTTCCTGAGATTTTAAGCCTTTCTTTATTGTTTCTCTTTAACTTTTTTATTATTTACTCCCTGTTGTTATCTCATTTAATCAACTTCATGTTTGCTAGCAGTTACAGCCAATAGAAGGCAGGGAATGTGTTCCAAAAAACAAATGTATGTGACAACTGTCTTTCCTCTTGCAAGACTACATGGAACCATTGACTTGCGTCTTAAGGCTATATGGGAGAAGTCTTTTGCTACAAAAAAGACACATGAATTCCAGTCTCTTTCACTGTATGAGAAGGTGTGTTTTCTTGTTGTCATCAAATCCTTCAAAATTTAAGGGTGCTGGTTCAATATATTTCGCTACTGTTTTCAGCTGCGACAGTCTCTTTCTCTCGAGGAAACTAATGATCGTGAAGCCTCTCACAGTCCTGAAAACAATGAGGACAATGACTATGATAATGCGAATGTACCTGATTTCGACACGCATGATGCTGCTGAACATAGTGATGATGAGCATCAAGACAATGATATGGTTAGCTGTCAACTGGAAAAGCTATTGAACTCATATTTTTAACGGGAAATGCACTTCAAATTACTCACAGGGTATATATTTATGCAGCATGCAAACGACGGTGTTCCTTTTGATCATGAAGGTCATGAGGATCCAAATACTCATGCAACTCTTGCAGATCTTTGCCGTTCCCATTTGGTGAGGACATGAGATTTAATTTGTCTTTTAGAGTTTACGGTCACCCACAATTTCCATTATTATTCTCTTTATGTCCCATAAAATTCTTCACACTTTCCTTTTTTGGACGTCCCATAAGATTCTTTACACTTTATTCCCTATTTTGGTAATGAATGTGCGGCTATTACCAAATTTTCTTTTAAACAAAATCTAACCACACTTTTTACTTTTCAACACCTTTAACCCTATGAAGTCAAAGTGTCACCATTTTTACGTGACAGAGGGAGTAGCTGTTGTTAGGCTCATACAAGAGCTTGGTGCTTTCTTTTTCAGTTTGGGACTCCCATGGTATTGTAGGATTGGAAACATATTATATTCAGTCCCCCCTGCATTATTGCCGAATATTTTGTAGATTTGGCTTTTTTTTGAGATCTAACATAAACCTCCTGTGAAACACAATATTGCTAACCTTGTGTGCTACATATAGGATTCGCTTCTTGAAAACCTTGCTGAAAGTGAGCACCAGACCGAAATGGCTACCAGGGTTTCAACATGGAAGCAGAGGATTGAGCAGAACCTGAATGAACAAGTCTGTGCATTGACTTCTCTCACCTTCTGCCCACTGCATTGACTTCTACTATGTTTCAGAAGCTTCTCTCACACCCTAACCCATGGGTATATTTCCATGACAGGAATCACGCCCAACTTTTGATATTCATGAATATGGCAATAAGGTCTTGACTAAGCTGTCTTTGAAAGAAGAGAGTGGAAATGGCGTCTCATTTTCTGATATAGTCAGCGGGGAAGAGAAGCACGATGTTGCTCGAACATTCTCTGCACTTCTGCAGCTAGTAAGCACGCACGCACGCACCCTTTATTTCAGAACTAGGATGAATGCTTTTAACTGGTTTTTTTTAACTGAGGTAAAAAAGTGTTTTTTTCATCTTTTCTTATTCAAAGGTGAATAACGGAGACGTGGATTTGCAAAAGGAGGGAGCCGAAGGGGAGTCAAATGGTTACACTGCTGCAAACCCCTTCTACGTCCGACTCCTCCGCAGGGGCGCTAACGCAAGGAAAAACATAAACCTTCAATCCCCAACAAAGAAGAAGTCAAAAGCCTCTGCTCTGAAGAGGCACCCTAGAGGTGAGAAGAGCAAGAGGGGTGGTAAAGGGAACCGCCCCGGTAGTTCATCCCCTCCCGGGTCCAACAACTCAACCCATAGATTCGCTTTTCAGGTGTGCAACGGGACTAGATGCTCTCCGGAGGGTAAGAAGCGAAGAAAGTCCCAGTTTTCGGAGCCATTGGAGTTGCAAACTGGAGTGTCATTAGAGTGAAAAGCATTAGCAGGTTTGCTGTCTACTGTTAGTGCCTAACATCTCATTGTATAAATCGCATTTTCGCGTTCGTTTTGTTCGAGTATGTACTATCAATTAGTGCAGAAATTTTAGGTGATACTAAATGCAGATGTTTAGAAGAACTTGATGAGTGTTCTTCAACCTGCAGATGTGTGTATCCATTTAATCACCCCTTAACCTGTTACTATTAGCTTAGTGATTGTGTACCTAATGAAGGAGAATTGTAACACTTCTATGCTAAAATAAGTTCATTTCTTTTTTATTACTCCCTCCGTCCTAAAACTTTCTTCTCAATTTGACTTTTCCCTATTTTTAATTTTTGGCTTTGACTTCAAATTTTACCCTCCTTAAAAAAGATTTCTTAAAATTTTTTTTGCAATCATTCAAAATATAGAGTTAGAAGATAATTGGTGCAAATACATGAGGGTATTAATGTCATTTGTCATCTTTTTTTTTCTAATGGAAAGGTAGTTTTATGACGGAGAAAAAGGGGAAGTGGGAAGAAAGTTTTAGGACGGAGGAAGTAATTTTCAGGTTCTTTCCTTTCAGGCCAATCTTGAAGTAATATATTGACTTTTAATCTCTTGTACTTTTACATAGCTTTGTTATTTTTAGATTAATAAATACCCCCTCCTAAATGGGTTATAGCCTAATAGGCTGGACTTTTGTTTTTTGGCATTCAAAAAAATGGTTTCACTTTTCTTAAATGAAAAAATTATGTGGTCTCTAACCATAATTTTACATTTATTAACAATCATGTTGATTTTATTGTGAAGTTTTCTTTTGGGATGAAAGGAATATACAATTACTTATTCAAATAAACATTAATATTACTGGAGTAAAATCTTTTTGCTTTCTTCATAAGTTTTTGATAAAATAAAATATTCTTGTCACCTCTCGTTTTGTAGAATTTTTGACGAAGTTTTTTAATATGTAATTTTTATATCTTATTGATATATCAATTTGTAAATAAAATGATTTCAAAAAGTAAGAAATTTTACTTTGTAATCCGCAATTTGTAATCAAATTGGGGACGGAGGGAGTATTATTTTGTAACAATATATTCTCTCATATTATTTTATAGTTATATTTTCCCTCATTTGTTAGAAGGTATTTTTTCGGGCTAATACCTTTGGCTATATACGTAGTATATTTGTTATTAGTCTCAGCTTTCTACGTACCGTCTTCAACTCCCTTATTTGTTGGTGGTTGACAATTCTTATTAGTTACTCGGTACTTTTTTTTTTTTGATAAAAGTTACTCGGTACTTTACTAATTCATAAAATATCAATATAAGTGCAATAAAGATACTCCATTTGCTCCCATAATATCTCTCATTGTTACTTATTACGACATCTCGATAACTTCTACTTTTGTATATTTTCATTGATCATTTTATGAAATAAAATATTTTTTTCACATCTTATTTTGTAAGATTTTTTATGTATATATATATATATATATATTTGAACAATATAATTTGTAGCTTTATTTGTATATACACCATTTCTAATTAAAATGATTTTAAAAGTTACAGTTAGCTCTTCACCTAGTTATTCCATTCGTTTAGTTCAATGCTCGGTCTAGTTTTCAAGCATTGTAAGTACACCCGGTGATGAATACTCGTTTTGAATCGATCAACAAGATATTTATTTTGAATAAATAAAATTTTCATTTTCAATAATAGTATTCATTTTGAAATAACGTAGTGTACATTCTGAAAAAAACTAATTAAAAGTTTATCATGATATACAAAAAGTAAGTTACATTCGATTTTACTATTACCTCCGGTCCTAAAAACCTTTCCTGTTTTGATTTTTTTGTCAACTAGTAACACATTTTTTTACCACAATTTAAATTTAATCTAAATAAATAAATGATATAAAAATTTGATATATTAAAACTATGTCCTAAAACAAATCCAATTATATTAAATTTATATTATAATTAAAAATACTTTTCTCACAATATATGATTAATGAGTGTCACAGTTTGACGAAAATATTCAAAACAGGAAAGATTTTTAGGATATAATTTGATCGGTATCATGGAGTACTTAACTCCCTCAATTTTGTACGGAGTACAATTGAAAAGTCATTATGAGGGAGCAATCATAAGTGGAACCAAATGCCAAACCCAGCTCGGCAGCTCCTCCCAAGCTATAAAAAAGGCTATCCATCATAACTGAAGAATTATGATTTTCATTAATCAAAAGAGTTGTGATTACATGTATATATATAAGAAGAGACTCAATCCTAAACAAGGTAGGAGAGACACAAGTAAGGAAACCTATACAAATTAGGTAAGGGAATAATACAATATATTAAATATATACAATATATTTAACATGCTCCCGGCTACGTCGGATGTAGAGGAGGTCTGATTCCCAAGCTTTGTCTGAAGTCCAGAAATAATAAAGAAGGCAGTCCCTTAGTGAAGATGTCAGCATACTGCGAAGACGAGGGAACATGGAGGACGCGCACATGACCAAGTGCTACTTTGTCACGGACAAAGTGAATATCAACTTCCACGTGCTTGGTGCGCTGGTGCTGCACAGGATTTGTCGAGAGATACACAGCACTGACGTTGTCACAAAAAACAAGGGTGGCTTGCCGAAGGGGTTGCTGCAGCTCAAGAAGTAGATTCCGGATCCAGCTCGTCTCTGCTACGGCGTTGGCCACGGCGCGATACTCGGCTTCGGCACTAGAACGTGAAGTGGTAGCCTGGCGCTTGGAGGACCAGGAGACTAGATTGTCACCCAGAAAGACACAGTATCCGGAGGTGGAACGTCTGGTGTCTGGGCAACCGGCCCAGTCAGCGTCGGAATATGCCTGCAAGGAGTCGGTGGAGGATGGTGCCAGGTGGATGTCATGGGTGGAGGTGCCACTGAGATAGCGTAGGACACGCTTCATGGCTGTGAGATGAGCATCACGGGGGGCATGCAGGTGTAGGCAAAGCTGCTGGACGGCATAAGTGATGTCAGGGGGAGTAAATGTAAGATACTGTAGGGCTCCAACAACAGATCGATAAAGAGTAGGATCGGGGAGCAGAGTGCCTGACGAGGAGGAGAGCTTTGCCTTTGTGTCCACTGGGGTGGAGATGGGGCGACAAGATACCATCCCGGCCCGCTCAAGTATGTCATGAGTGAACTGTGTCTGGTGAAGAAAGAGGCCACTAGTCGTCCTGTGTACGTTGATGCCAAGAAAGAAGTGTAGGTCCCCCATGTCTGTCATAGCGAATTCGGCCTTTAGCCGCTGGATGAGATGCTGGAGGAGTGCTGTGGAAGATGCTGTGAGAACAAT